TGGGGTACAGTCAGAGCTGGGCACATCAGCATCTAGTAGCAGAGATAGGACAGACTGGTTGGATGAGAGGAGCACCTCACTCCCTGCTTTGATATCACTTTGGGCTTTCTCTTCCTAGATCTCAAAAGCTAAGCACATTTGGGCCTGACCAATATGTGGATGGGAGACCACGAAGCAAAGGCCCAGGTGTTTGAGGCAGTGGTGTCAGTGACTCAGTAGGTGCTGCTCTTCCCTCAGAGTCAGTACCAAGCAGATGGTTCAGCCTGGTGCTAGAAGGTGTTGAGCCAGGGTATCATCTGGGTGACATGTTAGGGGGAACTCTTCTCCCAGGAGTCAGATTAATACCAATGCCCTAGTGTTTATTTCTGCTCCCACTAGCATAGAACAGTGGCCATGTTCCACCCCAGAGGTGGCTGCTTTGGGGGAATTCTGATGCAAACATTGCAGGGATCACTCATTGTGAGAGGCGCTATAGGAACATGAATCTCACTGCAGCAGATGGGCTGTTTCCAGCCCTGACTTACGAGCTCAGGTAGACGGAGAAGAGGTCCTGGGACACCAAACCCTCATTCATCATGTTGTCAAAGACGGGGGTGGCATCAGAAGAGGCGATACTGGGGAAGGCCAGACCCAGGATCCCGTCAAAGGGGGCGTAGTAAAAGGTGGAGCCAGGCTCAGTTTCACTCAAACCGAAGATCTGTTTGGTGTCCACAATGCCTCCAACCTTGGGAGAGGGATGGGGATAATCAGACACACCCTACACCCTGGGAGAAGCTGGCAAGTCGACCACAGGGTCCTGATGGCCTGGGGAGTTCTCAGAGGCTGGCGTGCCCTGCACTGTGGTCTCTCCCCCATATGAGAATATTCTGTGAATGGTCTCATTGCCTCTTTTTCTATCCTCCCTCTCCCAGTTCATACCCATATTCTGCTTTAGCTTCCCAGATGCGTTCTGTCCTTCTAACTCCAAATCTTTCACCATGTCTGCTCCAGGGGCTTTGATCCTTTCTTGTGATTTACCTGGACAGTGTCATAGGCCAGGATTCCGGTCATGCTGCCGGTGCCATACTGGATGGAGAGGTTCTGGCTGGTGGCCTGGTAGGTGGAGGAGTCTGATGGGTTGAATTTGTTGTGGTTTGCTACAAGTACAGAAGAGTCAGATGGTCACAGACTGACACTTGTAACTCTCCCCATGCATTATATGGAGAGCCTGGGTGCCTAGTGAGACTGTGAATTCCTTGGTGGGATCAGGGTGCCTAAGAGTCACACATTGCAGTACTCAGCATTGCCACACCTAAGTGCCTTTGTAGATCTAGCTTCTTGTCTTACTAGGGCCCATTCCACCTCTGACACTGTGTAGTATGTGGAGGGACAATGAAGGGAGACCTGCTGCATTCTGACTTCCTGGATGAATAAAAATCAATGATGAAAAATAAAATCTGATTTTCTAAAATGTCAGTATATTTTTTTTAAATAAACCTATTTAAAATTAACTTTGAAATTATGACAACATATGGTAAGGCTTAAACTTACTATAATCTACTAAAATCATTTAAATTAAATACAAAGATTATTATTAAGCAGTGCATGTTTCTGGCTTTAAAGAAAGTCAACAGAACAGGAAGATTTCATTGACTCAGCACCTAGAACCAGAGTTTCCTTTGTTTCAGTGCTAAACGAGCTTTTTTGGCAGCAGTAGTCTCTTCTGCAGGTGCAGAGAGAATACTTTTTTCATGTCAGTTTATTAACTAGTTCAGTTCACCGACTAGTTCATTCCAACTTAAGTAACCGATTGGGAGTTAAAAAAGTGGGAACACTTGTTTTCCTCTTCCAATCTCTGAATAAAAGCTAGGTGCGAGAGGATGAGCTCTACAAGTTTTAAAATCTTGTAGGACACGCTGGTCAGAAACAATAGTTCAATTCACTGACTACATATAACACTTCCTTTGTTTCATAAATCAATTAGTTTTAAATGCAAAACATTTGATACATTTTTCTTTCTTGTATATACAGCCCATTGAAAGGTGTTTTAACTAATTTTTTTAAAAGCTGGATTTTGAATTTTAAAGTGAATTTTCCAATTTCCATCCAAACTGAGTCTGATACAAACCAAAAATTAATCATAATATAGTAAATAAGAAACGCCTCCTTCACCATTTTCTAAAATAACTAAAAAGTGAACAAAGTAAGAATTTGAATAAATGTATATAAAGCTATGTTAATTGCTTAAATAAATGTGTATTGACATAGTGTATCCCCCTGATTTGCTAAAGGAAGTAGCAAATATAATGTAAATATATAGTTGCAAGTCAACATGTTTATAGTGATTACAAACCAGTGAGAATCAACTTCCTTTAGAAAAATCAATGAAATTAATTATTTCAATTAAGGTTCCTCCTTTCTAATGTAAATCCCTATAATTTCAATCAATCCGCCCAGCTGGAATGTCAAGGCAAGAGGCGTTGCAGGTGACTTACTGCAGGCTTCGCTGGAGCAGTACACGGAGGGCACCCACAGGTTGGAGGAACCGGTGTCGAAAATGACAGTGAAATCCTGAGCAGGCGTGCCAATTGAGATGGTTCCATAATAATCAACCTGTCAAAGCAGGACAAAAAATAATGGAAAAAGAGGGAACCCTTGCCATCCAAGGGCTAGATCATCGCCTGGAGTAAACCGGCGTAGCTCCACCAGCTGAGGGTCTGGGCCACAGTGTCCTTGCTAAAGGCCCAGCCTGAGCTGGTGTTTCTCTGCCATCACTTTCCCCAGCATGGCTCCTAGCAACTCCTGGCATCCAATAGTCACAGGTGATCAAATGCACACAATTATTTAGCCTCAGATCCCTGAATCTCAGTGTGTGGAAGAGCATGATTGGAAGAGGGCAGCCAGCAGACCCTGGGAGTGCTATTCCCAATGCTCTTCTTAATGCCATCCAATGACAGTTGGGGGCTGGGTGGCCCAGCACAGGTTCTTGGCTGAAGCAAGATGGGAGCTTGGTTGGAAGCACATGGGTGGGGGAGTGGGTTGGGGCACTTTTGGGAGGAGGGTGAGATCAGCTGTTGGCAGAGGAGTGGGAAGCTTTGTTAAGGAGAGGGAGGCTACAAGACCTGCTCTCCTGCCATACTCACGTCCATGTAGTTTGTGAGTGGCTCACTTGCAAACTCGCTGGACAGGCTGGGGAAATACTTGGAGGCCAGGTTGTAAGGATGTTTCTTCAGGAAATCCTCCAGCAAGCCATGTTCCTTAAGGTTCTGCCTCAAGGATTTCCCCTTCTTCAGGGAGACCCTAATCAACAAGGGTAGAGAGATTTCAGAGTAGCAGCCGTGTTAGTCTGTATCCGCAAAAAGAACAGGAGTACTTGTGACACCTTAAAGACTAACAAATTTATTAGAACATAAGCTTTCATGGGCTACAGCCCACTTCTTCAGATGCACAGAGAGAGAGACCGATCAATAGGAAATAAACAATAGACAAGCCTTGTGTTCAGAGCCTAAAGTGCAATCCAGCTTTTACATTGCACTGAGACCCCTTAGTACACCTAGGATTATGAAAGGAGTGCAAAAGAGTTGGGTGCCCAGTGCACTGAAAGTCAATGAGAGTTGGGCACATAATTCCTGTAGGACTCTCGGAAAATCCAAGCCTATATGTACTAGAAGAGAGATGGCTCAACGTTCTGGGAGCTGGACTAATACATGGAAAGAGACAGTTCCTGCCCTGTAGAGGTTACTGTTGAAATAGACAAAATGGACAAAGGAAGTATGATCCGCCACCTTGACTCCGTCAATCATGCTGTTCTGCTTGAAATCACGTTCTCCCTTAACTTCCATGTCTCTCCTCTCATGGTTCTCCTCCTACATCTGTAATCACTCCTTTGATGCCTTCAGAAGATCTGCCCTCCAACTTTCTGTGGGAGTTCCACAGGGCTCTGTCCTTGGTCCCCTTCTATTCTCCTTCTACCCCTTATCTCTGTGTAATCTCATCCACAAACACAAATTCCACTACAACCTCCATACTGATGACTCACAGATCTGCTTCCCTCCTCCAGACCTGTCTCCTTCTGTCCAAAGTGAAATCTCGACCTTCCAGGCCTGGCTTGATGGGAGTAATTGAACATGGGAGAGGCCTCATTTTTTAGGAGGCAGGATTAGTAAGGTACTGTGAATAGATCAGCAGGCTGAACACAGAATGTCTATGCTAACCAGGACAGATGAGTGCATGGGAAGCCAAGAGACAGAAGGGCTGAACTAGCCAAGATAAGGCAGAGAACATCAAGGGAATCATTTACAAAGGACAGGATAACTGTGGACGAGATAAGATGGGAACATAAAGATGAGTAAGTCACACATGGCATGGATAGAGCATGCTGTACAGGGATTGGTTCCTACAAAGAAAGCCAATCCCAAAACATGTGAAACAACTTTTCTCTAAAAAAACAACAAGGAGTCTGGTGGCACCTTAAAGACTAACAGATTTTGGGCATAAGCTTTCGTGGGTAAAAACCTCACTTCTTCAGATGCAACTGAAGAAGTGAGGTTTTTAACCACGAAAGCTTATGCCCAAAAAAATCTGCTAGTCTTT